CGGGGTGGGCCGCGCTCCATGCGTCTCCCTGGTCTGCTGGGGGGAACCGCCCCCCGCACCGCCATAGGCGGCGACAGTGGGAGAGGCACCCCGCACTAGCTGGGCCCCCCCCGTTCGTAACTAGGGGTCCGACTTAAGTCGGATTGACATAACCCAGGGACTGCCTGTATTGCAAAATGAAACTACACTTTCAAAATACTTTAAACACAAGGCTGAATCAAAAAGTAGTTCTAACAATCAAGGAGGAATCAGTGGTAATAACCATCAACACTGAACATCAAAAACATGAAGTACCAGTGTCTATTATTGCCGGTCCTTATGAGAAAAAGGTGAAGATGGAAAAACACCTGAATTACCTTGTGCAAATTTCTGAGATCCAGCCAAGGAGGGAGGAAATTCAATAAGAGCTAGAATAGCAGAAAATGAAAGACAGAAAAAGGGCAAGAGAAAAAGAATTAGAAATTAAAAAAAAAAGAGATTACTATGAATTTGTTTCAGTTACTATAGTTGATTCATGCATTTTATATATAAATTAGTAATTTCTCTTCTAAAAGCCTTCCATTAAAGTAGATCCTACAGCTCTTTACAAACAACAATGAATTATGTTTTTAAAAGAATCAGATTATTATGGGATACAAGCACTAATAGTAGAACTACACTCCGTGCTTGCAGATGGGTGTAGGTGGTTGGCCTCTGATCAGAGTTTTTCGATTTATAGATTTCATTATCTGAAGCCATAAAAACAAGCTGCTACATGATTATAGCAGCAATAAAAGTTAACAGAGTTATGAAACTTTTCCATCAGCCAAATGTCTCTCAACTTGTGCAGGAACTACTCCTTACAAGTGGTATTTTTTTCCTATCAGCGGTAATACCACCTTTCCTCAAGGAAGGCTTCATTTACATTATGTAAGCTGCTTTAAACTACTTTTTTTTTTAGTTTTGATAAAAGGGATAATTAAATCAAACATGCACTTATATAGAATATGTCCATTTTGGGCCTTATACTTAATTGCAACACATAGGTGAAGCAGATTAGGAAATATACAGTACTATATGTAAATATGCTGTTTTGAGAAGAAGTTTACTATTAAGGTGGGGGAACACAGGCCAGGGTTAGAATAAATTAAGTAAAGTAGATTGGGTGTTCAGTCTGGAAGGAGTAATTATGCTGTGAGTTGCAAACGAGAGGAGAAAATGAAAGAAGAGCAAAGGAGGAGAACAAAGTTGCACTGAATTGTTTTCTAAAACATGTTCCCTAAAATGTGCAACAAACCAAAACCCTAAATCAAACATTTTTCACCCAAGTAACTCAGCAGGCATTTTAAACCAACTTTCCATATTACTGCTCGTTCAGTTTCTATTACACGTATGTATGTACATAATGTGTGTGTGTTCTAGTACTAGTTCTCACAATACTGGGCATACAGCATATGTTTGTGACCTTTTAAGTGCTTTATTCCTTCTTGCTTGTCTCATTATACTTCTATTTCTTCTAGCTCAAATATAATGAGGTTTCCGTAAACATGTGTCTGCTAGCATAAAGTTATGTTTTTGAAGAAATACAGTTCTTTATTTACATGCAGTAAATTCCAGAACCATGTATTGTTTCCAAACAATCCTATTAGCATGTGAAATACACAAGTGCTCCTATAATTTCATTGTATGTACAGATAAATGCAACACACAAAACCATATAGTCTGCATCTCACCATGTACATTACAAATGACAAATCACTAGGAATTACTGTATTAAGACAGAGTAAAGTCTGTAGCATCCCCCTGTAACAAGAGATAAAAGCCAGGAACATAAGGATTCCCTTGTGCAGCCCAAAGACATCGTTCTTTTCCCTGACATGCTATACCTGTTTAGGACGCACTATGCAAGGCATATTTACAAAGTTCAGGGAAAAGTAGAGTTCTCAGTTAACCTTGCTTGTTTAAAAGCCTTTAAAATACCTTTGACAAAAATATTAGCTAATTATTTGCCTCCTGACAGAAATTCTGAATACTTCACTGCAGTCAATAATTTTGTTCTGGTTTACATTGCTTTTTTGGGGAACTCTCAAGGTATTGCAATGTAAATTACCAGTTGTGTCTTGCCTCCTCGCCAAATGACAAATATTCACCTCTCTTATTAGCAAGTTGTACATTCAATGAGTGGGATTTGCTCTAGCATTTGAACAAGAGTCAACTATATTTACTAAAAGAAGAGGTGCCAAAGCATGGGTAAATCAACAAGCAGTCTGCAAGCCAAATCCAGACCACCAGCCAGATAGATGCTTTTGAACAGATCTCCCCCCCCCCATTTTTTTTTTTAATTTACTTACTACAAGACTTACCCAGTGTTGACCAGGGCCAGTCCAAGTCAGGGGTGCAGTGGGGCGGGGGCATGTGTGACATGGCCACCTGGTGACTTCTTCATGGGGTCCGCCCAGAGGTAGTGGGGGCCACATAGTACAGTCCCTCGGAGGCAGCCCAGGGCAGTGGGGGCTGCATGCATACCCCTGCATGTTTCCTGGGGCAGGCTAGGATTGCAGGGGCTGTGCTGCCAGCCAGGGGGCTGCTCTTCAGGGCTGAGGAGCTTGACCATAGGGAGAAGGCAGCATTCACGAGTATAACTGCCCCTGCTATCACACCATTCCCCTTCTGTTTGATGCAAAACAATCGAATTCCATGCACACAAACTCTGATCCTGCTTTAAGTTATGATAAGAGGAAGCTCCATACCAAATTTGGAGGTCCTAGTTCTTACATTTAGGAGGCATTTTTGAAGACGGACAGACTCTCAGATGGACACACAGATGCACATTTCTAAAATATAGTAAAGATTATTGTTATTTTCTCTGCAGTCTGGACCTTGCCTGTACCTTGACAAAAAATAATTGACTATCCTTGTTCCAAAACCTTGTCCTGGCTCCCTAGTTCTCATGATCCATGTGCCCATCCACATACAAGCTTTAGCCATTGCAGATGAAAGAGCATAAGCAATTCTGCTTTGATAGATGTTTCTACCATACATCATTAACCAAATCTAGCCAGTGTTCTAATCAGTACCCACACTTCTCAGTTAAGGTTTATATTCAGCTCGCAGGTGCAATATTCAGGTCATTTTGGGATTTCCACCCTGCCCACAAATACATATTAACCTGGTAACTGATGGAGAGAGAATGGCTTTGGTGCTTTGCTTCATATCCTCAATACTTCCAGACAGCTTAGGATCACAATCACACAGTTTGTTATGCTTTCCTCACACACACATTCTCACCTTGTATAGCGAATGCTGTAAGCAACTCTTCATTTTGATTTGTGTCCTTGTTATCTAGTGCCATGTTGCTTGTCTCCATTGACATATACAAAGCAGAGCTAAAGAAGGAGGATTACTAAACTAGCATCTCCTGTTACAGCCGAGTCCTCCTGCAGCTAACTGAAAGAATGTTTCTCTAATAAACCACTGAGTACACACAGGGCAGTGCTTTTCAGACAGCAGTGGCCATAAAAAGGAGGAGCTTTGCAGCAATCATCTAGGACTTCCCCTAGAGTCTGACACTGGGAATTGGCCTACATTACATGCTTCAGAAACTTTATCACATTTTCTTTCCGACAAGCACAAGATGAAAATTTTAATCTCTAACTCCACAGAAATGAGCTGGTGTACAATTTAGTTTTCAGCATTAACACATAGCTCTACCTGTGGCCTGCGGACACCCCAGCTACCTCCATCCTCACACCTCTGTCGTGCACTTCAACATTGAAGCCCCACACTTCCCTGCTCCTCCCCATCCCTTTCAGCACATGAATCACCACTGGAATGCCTTGAATCAGCAGCTGTGGCCCTCTGAGGTAAAGGGCCACGCATGTGGCCCACTCTCTGTTCAAGGTGGCTCATTGCTGACAGAGTTACTGTGCATCAGCTGGGTCTATGTAGACAAATTCAAGTGCAACAGTGTGCTTTAGACAGCACATCCTTGTGGAATTCATTGTTGTGCTGTGTGGACAAGCCCAGAGTGCCAAATTTCCAGTGTTTACATTAGTATTTATACAATATCAGGATCTAAGCTGCTTGTGTAACGCCAACAGGCGAAACTCAACCTGGGACCTTAGGAGCTTAGTGCATGAGCCTCTACAGTGTGAGCTATTACTATTAGTGTATGGGCCCAATTCACTTTAGAATTGGCATTTTTACAGTAACAAATGTTACTGATTTGAAGATGATCTCAGAAGAACCATCTAAAAATAACTTTTTCAGATAGCATACAAAAGCTCTTTGGAAGTGGCCTAGAAAAAGCTGAAAGCATTTTGCAAAGACTGGCTTATACTGGGTTCTACACCGATTAGGCCATATTCCACTCTCAGTACACCAATATAATAATTTCACTGAGGTCAATTCAGGTACTCAAAATGTACACAAGTATAAACAGACTAGAATATAACTTTTGGCTTATTATTGGTTGTATTTTCCTGCTTTATTTTTTTTCAGAAACCTATCTAAAAATGTGCATTTGACTCTGTGATGTAACATGGATTAGTAATTTCTTCTGTGACAGATATGACAATATCATGCAACATACAGGACAAATCTTCAACAATTCTAATAAACCTTACTGGATTACATTTCAGAGTTCATTGCTCTAAAAATGCAACTATGTATGTGGTATAGCGGAATTCTAAGTAACTACTCTAGAAGTTTGGCTAATGCAATGTGGGAAGGATTATGAGCTTCAAAGCACCATTAAGATAAGTATGAAGTGGCTTTCCTAGAAAATAATTGGGGTAAGGAGAATGCAAATGATCTGTGCCTCAGAGTCCATCATTTTAAAGCTGCCCTCGAGAAAAGCTCATTGTCTACCAATAACCAGCTTCTGGAAACCCCAGGTCAAAGACTGATGAATTATATGAAGGATGTACTGAACTCCTTGTGAGTGTGGTAGTTCTAAACTGAGGCTGTAACGAACTTGTGATCGAGAGCCCCTCTGTGAGGTCTGAAGGGGGAAACTTCTGACAGACCCCCGGTGCAGTTGGGTGATCTCCATTCTTTGTAATGCTTTTATTATAAGAACAAATAGGCTTGGACAGAAAGAACAGCGTGGTGTCTGAGGTGTGGCCAGTTACACGGTTAGCCCCTAAAGAGAAAGCAAATGGGGCTGCTTGGGCAGTCTCGCTTTGCCAACAAATGTACAGTATAATATGGGAGCTATGCAGCTATGCAGCTGGAAATACCTTGGTCAGAAGGAAGAAACCCAAAAGATGCAAGCCAGAGGCCTAGGCTGCTGAACACCAGCAGGAGAATACAGGTGCAGGTAACCTGAACTATGATATCTTCTACTATTTTATTCCCAATTATCACTTCTACAGGAGACCACTTTGCCTAACAACTGTTTAAGCTTATACATGTACCCAAGATTTTTTGAATGGAATGAATGTACAGTACAGGCAGTCCCCGCGTTACGTACAAGATAGGGACTGTAGGTTTGTTCTTAAGTTGAATTTGTATGTAAGTCAGAACTGGTACATATTGTAGGGGAAACTCTAGCCAAACATTTCTCCAGAGCTCAGTTTTATTCTCCCACACCTCACTTCCCTCAGTCCTTTATTCTCAAGCTGAGGTGTCTGCTGAGAAAAGCTGCTCCGTGTCTCCCTGGTCTGCTGGGGAGGGGCGCTAGCTTTGCGTCTCCCTAGTCTACTGGGGGGAAGCAGCTAGTGCGGGGTTGCCTCACCCCGTTTGTAAGTAGGGATCTGATGTAAGTCGAATCCATGTAACCCGGGGACTGCCTGTACACAGATCAATTCTATCAATGTCCTCTGATTCAGGATCTACTGGCTGGGGCCCTTCTTGTTATCTTTAAGATTGAACTTGTAGGGATTGGTATCCAGGCTTTCAGAATCCACTGCCTGTTACTCCCAGCCAATGTCTGCATCAGGAAAATGACAACACTCACTGAAAGTGTTTAGTGCCAGAGCCATTAATAAGAGGATTAGTTATCGTGTACA